GCTATTTTCCTTAATTGTGGTGTTAAGGTCATCATTAAGATTTCTGTCATCTGTCGTGTGTATTTAATGAATATGCTTTTCGAACTAGTGTTTCGATTCGTACTGCTATTTGCTTGATGGTTTCGTTTGGTAATCTGCGAATTTCATTACATAAAACTCTTTGTTGTTGTTTGTTTCTTTCGGAGTCAAACATTTTTGAAAATTCCTGTGTAAACCTTTTCCAGTTTGATTTTATTTCTAGAGGTAGTACTGAAAACCATTTTTGGGCTGCGCCATCTAGAGTTGTTTGTATTAACGCTGTGCGTCGATGTATCCAGTTTTGATGTAGTGGCGTATTAATTGGTTCAGGTCCAATATTTAAAATCAGGTTTGCTGTTACTGCATTTAAATAATCTTCTACAGAGTATTCAGGGTCTGTTCCTGTGAAAACCATTAAAGGTTTGTTTGATGTTATTGATGATCCACCCATAAGGTATGGATTCATTGTCATTTGTAATGATTCTGCTGCATTTGGCATTTGAGAAAAATTTGAAAGTTGGTTTCTTGTTATTTCATGTTGTTGGAGATAATATGGGAGTGGTATTTCATTTTGCATTTGTGATGGTTGATACGAGTGTGCAGTCATTGGATTTTGTTGTTGAATTGGTTGAAAAGATTGTGTATTAATTAGATTTTGTTGTTTAATTGGTTGTTGATGTTGTGCATCTATTGGTTGTGGAGAAAAATTTCTATGATTTGTACGTGTTCTCTGTATTCCTTGTCTACGATATTCTTGAGTATTTGGTGCAAATATATCTGGTTGTAAGAAATCATCATCTGAGGATAAATAATCCATTTGATAAGATGTCTGTTTTTTATTTTTATTTTGTTGAAAAAATGGGTAATTTTCACTGTGATCCTGTGGAGGATTTGTTTGGAAATTTATTGAATTAGGTTGGGTCATTGGGTTATCCCAATTTCGAGATCTTGTATATTGGTTAAAATTTCTTTGTGGTTGGTTATATGTTTTTGATGGATGTGTATAATTATAATTATGGTCTGCAAAGTTGTTTCTAGTGAATGTTTTGCGTGTTTTTGATGGTATTGTCATGGGTCTGTATGTTTGGTAATCCATATGTGAATATTTAGGGGCAACCGAAGGTTTAACGGTTGATTGTAAGGTTACCTGTGTTTGTGAAGGATTTGTATTTCTTGGTGTTGTTAAATTTGGGCGTATTGGTGAGATACTTTGTTGTGTAGTTGTTGTGTGTACAATTTCTTCATTTATGAAGTGTGATGGTGTCTGGATATCTTGTTGAGTAAGATTCCTAGTTCCATTGAGGTTTTCATTGTGTATAACTGTAGAGTTTAAACTATTATTTTGTGTATCGGGCAAAAATGTATTATAGTTTAATGGTGTTGCATCAATGGTTAATGGTATTACTTTTACATAATCTCTTATGTAAGATATCGTACTTATTGCTTGACTTGAGATTGATTGTGGGAAGCTTATAAATGCTGGATGAGACCATTCGGGGTCCCAAACATAATCTGATTGTTCTGTGATAGCGGTATCATCGTTCGAGTTTTGGGGTCTAAAATTTTTTCTTGCTTGTGCAATTAAATCAATATTGTGTGTGAAATAATCTATTATGAACCATGCCAAAATTTTTTGTAGATCGTGTTTTGTATGTTGTGAAACGTCGTCTTTCGTGAAATTTTCTTTAATGATGTTTAAATAACTAGAGAGTAGTGTGATTTCATGTCGTACTCTTAAATGTTTAGATGTTTCTGTCGGTGAGACATTTGTTATTGGGATTTCGTTTTCTAATATCGAAATATAACTATATATTATTGCGAAAACTTCATTGGTGAATATGGAGTTTGCTCTTTGTGAGTTATGATATTGGATGCTTTTTATATATTCTGAAAAAACTTTTGAAAATTCTAAATCAAGATCGTCTGTTTGAATTGTATATTTTCTATTATTATGGTTTGGTGAGGTGAATTCTATGGAGTAGATTCCATACTGTTGTGTTATGTTGCATATATCTTTTAAGTAGTGGTCTATGATTTGTCTTTTGATTTTTACATCTGGGAACTCTGTTTTACATGGACTAATTCCGGGTTCAAATAAATTTACGAGTAAATTTTGACAAAATATGTGTTGTCCTCTATCAGTATCTGCGTCTACTATAAAAGGAAAGATTTCATCATCATCTGGACTTTCTTCACCTGGAGTGTGCGTTGAGCTCATTTTTTCGTTCGATGACTGTTAATATGTAATTATTAATGTGTCGAATTGGTTGATTCCAATTGTATAAATGTACTGGTTTGTGTTTGTACTGCTTTTTTATTCTTCTTTTTCCTCTTTGTGATGAATTTGAAGTTGTTTCTGAGTCAGAGAAATATAATTGATCGTGAATTGGGCAATTTTTATCTATTGATTCTTTTAGTTTGTAAAGTTCGTCTAAACTGTTGGTTTCTGATTCTGAAAATGCGTTTCGATTTTTTGAAAATCTTTTTCGTGTTATTTGTCTTTGTTTAGTTATTATTTTTCTCTTTAGTGTTTGTCGTTTTGTTCGAATGTATCCAACTGTTTGTGTATGAGGTGTGATTACAAGGTCGTATTTTTTGTTGTCTATTTCACAATTGTGTAAAACGATTGTTTGTTTATTTCCTAGGTTTTTTAAATGACATAAGGTTTAGAATGACGGATGCAAAGGGTTGTTAAATGATTTCTATTTTCCTAAACTGTTAGTTCTTACGATTTTTTGGTTAGCTTAACCTGGGTCTGTTTGTTCAGGGTTGGAGAGAAAAGTATATCGATTCCGAAGAATGATTTTTTACTTTCTCGTGGCTAGTATAAGTTAAGGTGTTAACTTACTTAATCTTACTTAGGGGTAGTGATTGTGTTCAAGGGTTGGAGAATAGTAAATCGATCCACAAGGTTCAGGTATAATTAGAACGCGAGTAGTTCGTTAGATACTATTTTAAACTTACTAAGTCTAAGATTTATCCTGGGTCTGGTAAGAGGGAGGGTCAAGTGAAGGATGAATAACCGAAGTTCTTCACTGTTTATCCTAATTTGAATGATTAGTTTTGTTTAAAAATTTCTATTAGTCTTGGGTCTTTAGAAAGGGTTGGGTAGTGAATCGACGTTTGAGGTCGTTAGACACTAATTAAGTGGGTGGGGGAGAACAAAGTTGTTCTGTTTGATCCAAGGATAAGCCTTGATGATCAAATTTGAAATTTAATTAAGTAGAAAATGATTTAAGATCCAAGGATAAGCCTTGATGATCTGGTTTTAAAATTAAGTGAATTTAAGTTTTAATAAAATTTTAAATGTGTGTAAAGGAAAGATTTAGTGTTTTGATGATATTAGTGGGTTTATGATTGCTGTTATGTTTTAGGTGATGGAGCTGGAACAACAGGATGATTTATGATTACTAACCATTTATTGTCATGCTACTAATTTTTATTTTTATTTTTCAATAAATATTTTTCAAACATGTTTTGTATATAACTGCAGAATTTTAGGAAAACGATCTTAGATCTTTTTATCAATCGTTATTGTATATTAATAATTTTGTTTAGCGCCTGAAATGATTTTGAAGATTAACTTCAAGGTTTATGTTTGCAAATGAAAATCTAAATTCATTGCCAGTAATATTCTAAATATAAAAGTTTGTTCTGGTTTTTGCCTAACTATCATATAGCTATATGGCAAGTTTCTACTTTGTCGTATGTCGTCTCTGGTTCGAGGTCTTCTTCCAATTCCGGGTAGTTCTGTTATGGTTCGGAATATTGGCTCTGATCTATTGAGTCGTAGAGACATTTCGATTAAATTATTGTCGTATAACATTTTGTAAATGTTTTTGTCTAATTTCTAATCTATTTTGGTTAATTCTAAGCTATTAAGGTCTTGTTCGAGACTTATGGTCGCACCAGATGAGTTAGGACCGAAGTGTATAACTCATAGAGTAATTTCGGATAGGGTACACCGTCTGCTCGTCACGCTATCTTATTTTCGGCCGGATAGATTCGTGCAACTTCTTAGTCTAATACCGATCCTAATCTTACTCTTATACTATCTAGTCTCAGGTTGTTTAACTAGTCTCTGCTAGGCTCAATAGATCTAGGGTATACTGGTTTATTGCGGCTGCTGAAGTGCTCGGGAGAGTCCAACTAATTTCTAAGTTAAATTCAAATCTCTCTGGTGCTGAAATTACAAGTAACTTCAGCACTTACAAATAAGTGGGTTGTTAGTTAGATGGATCGTGATTGGTTAATATTAAATACTTTACATTGGTAAAACATTTAATTTATCCAATCATAAAATATAGTTTAGATCAGGTTCCATTAAGCAGGATCGCAAAAGCGGTTTTTCGTGAAGAGCTGTTCTTATGTTGGTCCTTTCCATTGTGGATAAACCATCTCAACTTTACTTAAACTAACAGTATTGACACTAAAAATCGAAATTTGAAATCTCCAATCACAATAAAAAATTACTGGTCGAAGAAAAAAAAACCAAAGAACGCAGAAGATGAATAGTAAAAAGGAGGATCGAAACGTTTTAAATGCAGGTCAAAAGAAATTCTAAAGACGTTGTTTTTTGATATCCTCAATCAGAAATCGCCAAGCAACTTTGTTAATTATTTAGCAATTAAGTTAAAGAGGAAAACTTTTGAACATTATAAACACTATTTTCATGAGCTGCATTTTTGTCGACTATAATTATCATGGTGACCAAGACATCAAAAATGTACAAAAATACCTTTGTTGTAACAAACTCGCTATATTCATCAATTGGAAATACTCATTAATGTTAAAAGCAGCTGCTCTTCCGCACTCAGCTTCATATGAGGTTGATGATAATTAAGGATTAAAAGGATTAGTTTTGAAGAAGTTTTGTCTGTTTAAAAATTGAAGATTTACTATGCGTTACTCATATTGATATAAATAAATTGATACTTCTTTATCATACAATTTGAGCAAAAAAAAATCTTTCATAACCTTACTTGACAAACTGGACAACGAGGCATCCCTTGATAGAAGACACTCGCATGTAAAATGTGCCAGGCGGCTTGTTGTTCAGAACTGCAACCGCTTCCGCATTCTGAGCAGCAGGATCTCTTCCCTCAACATGGTAGATGAGAACCCTAAATAACATCAAAAGCACATCAATTTCAGTTATTACCATATACTGCTAGAAATAATCCAGTAAGAAAAAAAACGATTTTTTTAATATTCGCTGACCAAAAAAGCTAAAAAAAATACAGAGCATAAATTTCGGAGTATTAGCCTGAAACACTTGCAAAAGAATAAGAATCAAGAAAATTTCATTAGCGAAGCAAAGAATCTTGATTGATTGATCTGAACAGTTGGTAAGGCAAAACTTTGAAATACGTAGTTATGTTGCAATCTTGAAAAAAAAACTCGATTTCCAAATTATATAGATAAGTCTCACCCATGAAGGTTTGTCAAATCGTCGTTCATCACCAGTGGCATTTTCAAAGGAATCTGAAAGCAGGGAACAAATTTTTTGAACAAATTTAAACTAATTTGACTTCTGTTTCACGTCGGTTTTGTACATCCAACTATGATCTCAAATAAGTTTCAGACAACAGCGAAGCTTCACTGCACATATGCTAAGAAACATTTTCAAATTCAAAAATAAACAAGACTGCTCGTATATTAAAGCAGAGCCCTGAATGTTTCGACTGCGTTTTTAACTGGCCTCGAATAGTTTTTGGTAAAAAAGTATAGATGTTAAGATATATAATGAGATATAGCTCAGCTGAGCTTCACGCCACTTGCGATTCAAAATTGAATGACTATGATTAGAACCAAATGAAATAGAAAACAAAGATTGAAGAAAAAACTTATAGGAGCTTTCGGCAAGCTAGGAAAAAAAAACATTCTGCGCGCACTAAGTTGACAAAAGTAAGCAGTCAGACAATAATCTTAAGTAGCCGAAAATGTTCAGTTTGCAAAAACACAGGTCCCGACTGGAATCGAGCACCCGAGATTTGTCGTCTCAAGCAAAAAATCAACAGGTCTTGACCGGATTCGGACTACGCGCCTTTGCCGTCTCAAGCTGGTGCCAGATGCAATGAATGGTTGATTGGATTTGAATTTTGAGAGGCGAAGCTATGCTTCGCGAACACTAGCGGAAACACAACAAAAAAGCTGCTTTATAAAGTGGAAAAAAAGATAGAAATTAGCCTCGAATTAGTAAAAACTTGCTACATGGTCTTCGAACCTGCTACCTCGAAAATTGGAGTCTCACACCCTGCCCTCGCGGCCACGAACGCTTAACAAACGGCAATCACTAGTCGCCTATAAAACAGCTACATATGCTAGCAAATTGCCAATGCAATGCAGCAAAAGTGGCACTAAATACAAAAAGACACGAGTAATAGTTTCGGATATAATAAACTGAAGGCACCCACACTAATTTTGCATGTAAAAAATTGGAAAGCATAAAACCACATTGTGCATAAATAATGAATTTTCAAAAATTGCGAGCTACAAACAGTTCTGAAATCTATTGAGTTCTGATTGCAAGATATATTGAGAAAATTTCTGAAATTGAGTTTTTATTTGCGGTCAGGTTGCAAAAAAAAGTAAAGTTATACTAATACACTATGCTGGCTAGCTCGTTGGTGTAAATAGTCCATTACTTTCTGGTAGAAATGATATTCGAGAAATAAGAGCAAATTTGTTGATCAGATGATTCCTCTAAGCTTATTTAGATAACTAAAACTAAAAATCCATTCGTTGGAAGAACATTTTTGAATGTCTGTGCCCGAGTGGCAGAGGCGCTCAGCTATCAAATCGAATCTCACTTCGTTCCCGGTCAGTGGATTCCCAATGTCGCCCGCCTCCTCAAAGTGGAAACGGATACTGTAAAATGGACAAAATGGCCCAGGCAATAATTAATTTTAAACATTTACACCAAGGAGAAAAATAACAGAAAACAAACCAGTGTTTATTGCGGAATTGAAAATATGAACCCGAACAAAGCCGTGTGAAATTTAAAAGAAGAAACGATTTGGCCGAAAAAAAAACTGACAAAAGTAATTATTTCTAAACACTCCCGCATTTCATTGACAAACATCATTAAACTAGAGACAATACTTTTGAGCAAATGGAGCGATTACAGCAAAAAACTATCATTTTTCTTTATTGATTATTCCCAATTTATTTCCATGTCTTTCGTTGCAGGAAATTGACAAATTCCCCTGTGAGACAGTGGAAAAACTAAAGAGATCCAAATTTTGTGCTGAAGCTGAGTCTATGATCAAAACCGAAAAAAAAAAACAGAGCCGAAAAATGTTGGAAAAGAGTAATGAACGCAAGGAAACTGAAAAAAAACGACTTGTTTTTTCAGATCTTCAGCTTTTGAATTTCGAAGAAAAAATAGATGGCCCTGAAGCTGTTTGAATTTGTAGAACAATTTTTGATGGACACTTATTTGTTAAAAACAACCCAATTTAAGAAAACTGGATCAAAGGGTAAAACTTTTATTTCGCTGCGAACTCTCATAATTAATTTCCATTTTCGAAATGAGAAGCCGACCACGTTTTTCGTGAACTATACACTTTTGCTGTTCGATAGTGGAGTTTGCCTTCCTTTTAACAATAGAAATGCAATGAACTTAAAAATAAATCACAAGTCAAACCGCGAAAAATTAAAATTGAGCGTATACAAATTTTATAAGTTTTTTTAAAAAAAAAACATAAAAAATCAGTAGGACCTATATAAAAGTACTCACTACGTTCATTACTCTTAATAATGTAGTGAATGACGTATGGCTTTGAGAAGTCAAATAATTGCAATTTTTTATATCAACAACAGCGACTCTAAAAGACTGGTTAGAATGAACCAACTTTACGCAAATCATAGTTTGACACAGAGGCAAAGCTGCGCTTCGCAAACGCTTGCGAGAACACGACCAAAAAGCAGCTATATCAAAAGAAATAAGAAAAGTAGAAATAGGCCTCGAATTAGCAAAACTCGGCTACGTGTCGCATTAGAATCTGCGACCTAGCAAATTTGAGTCTCACGCACTAACCACTCAGCCATGGATGCTTAAATTCCCCAAAAACTAGCCACCAATAACGCAGCTACATATGCTCATAAAATGCCAATTCGATGTAGTAAAAATAGCATCAAAAACGCGAGATATATTAAGTTAGAAAATTTCTACCTTAATTTAGAAGATTAGAAGATTAATTTAAACTTAATTATCAAAACTGAAAAACTACAATAGACATTTTCATAGCACAAGTTATAGCTCTAATAATGATACATAAAATTATCTGAATAATGGAAAATATAACTCATAGCACCAATCACGATGAAGATAAATAATTTGCTACTGCAAATCAGCGATTTTAAAATCGATTCTAGAGGATTTAACTTAAATCAGATTTTGATAAATTAAAATATTGCATCACGCAATCAGGATAGATAAATAGAGGAACTTAAAATTTTTCTCAAGCTTATTAGCCCGATATCAACTACTCAATTATGCGAATAGACCAGACTTCAGAGCCTGTGTCAAATACTGCCGATTGGGATTTCTTTTTCGCATCTCCTTAAAATTTTCTTTCACTAGTTTAATCAGCTCTTTCTCATTTCCCTTTCCAGCGAAGCCTTTTATTTTCTGCTTCGCAACCACCTGCGCCGCTTTCAGGAAACTCGGCGAAATATCCATGTACTCGTGAAGAGCTTCGTAAAATGTGAAATCTCCCGCGAATAAAACTCGTTCGCAAACAATTTGCGGGAAGAGAGTTTGAGTTTTGCCGTAAGCGTCAAAAAAGGTCAAAATATGACCGACTAAATGGAAAGTAGCAGCGATACTCAGAAATACTGTGTCCGGTTGGTTTTCCAGACTAACTATTTGCAGCATTTCATTCAAATGTTGCAGTTGCAAGATACACAATTTGGCGTATTTTAGAGCACTTGATGACTCAGCAAACCTTTTGTCCTGTTCGTAGAAACGATAAGCTTCGTAAAACTCTTTGGAACAAGTTTTCAGAATATCTCGAGCTTCTTTTGAGTTTAGATTGACCGAAAATTGGTTGCTAAGTCTAGTCTCAGCTTGCCCTACCAGTACTTCTGCGTATTCTGGGTTGAAGTTCAGATCTTTCAAACACTGAAAGTATTCACTTCTGGACATGAGAACTGGAACCAGAAACTTTTTGAACTTCTGGGCGAGTGGTTTGTTCTGTTCGACAAAGTCAACCATTGAGCCTTTAGAACTGATTAAGTTAATCATTTTGGAGGCGACGAAATCTTCAGATCCAAGAACTTTTAGGCAGTGAATTGTTACTTTGTAATCATAGCTCACCTGCATAACTTCGATCATCTTAATCAAAATAGTGTCAAACTTTTGTATTTCATGAAAACTGTATGACTTACCTAGACAGTGCAACGCGTGGCCTAACAAATTAATCGCCGAAAACGGCCGCAGCTCGTCCTTCAAGAGGTCAAATGCAACCCGACAAAGTTGGTCCATCAGTAAGTTTTTATTTGGCAAAATTGAAATGATCTCATCAATTGACGCATCAAAACCGGTAAACCTGTTATAATGTTCCTGAATTACGATTAACACTTCTTTTTCAATATTACAGGCTAATAACTTCGATACTAATTTCAAAAATGCAACATCTCGATCACGTATATGTGCCGCTAGAGTTTTACCAACGTCGTTCTCATGAAGTTTCAACGCCTCTCCCCAACAAGTTTTTCCGATCGAATTTTCGACTGCTGGCCGAAAAAATCCAAAATGTTTATCACAAGCCGAGAAAATAACGTCACGAGCATTTAGCTTCGGGTTGAACGGCACACTTGAAGGCATTTCGACGTATCGACGAAAATCGATTATTCTGATTTTACTTTCTAGAAGCAGTCTTGAGGTCAGGACAAAAGTTATAATCCTCATTGGTTTTGAAAAATTCAGACAGAGGTCAACTGCCATGTTTGTGAATCCAGATTTCATAAGTTCAGTTATGAAGTTAGCCAAAGTCTGATCGGATACTAGCTCTTTCTGCAAATTGAGATAGTTCCTGACTCTCTCGTCATTCCAGTCACCTTCCGAGTAATCACCTCTAGTCATATGCAACTTCAGTTCTTCTAGAATATTCTGACTTGTTTCCGGTTTCAGATCCGAGTAAATTTTGTTAAGCAACGTGTTGTATATTCTATTTTTTGCTATTTTCAATTCATCGTTATCAATTTCTGTTAAACCGATGTTCAAAATTGAACTTAGGTCTCCGATAGACAGGTTTTCTTCTTTGGACACGGCCTGAACCATTTCAGTTTCAGAAAGACCAAAGTTCACAAGTTTTTTCGATAACGTAGCCTCCAGCAAGTACTGTTTAGTTCTTCGCATTGATTCGGATTTCACAATATCTGATTTTATTGGCATAAACTGCAGATCTATCAACATCCTTTGTAAATTCAGGCCTTCGTTCAATCCCGCTTTGATAACATTAACAGCCTTTTCTATGCAATCTCTTGCAATCAATTCTGAAACTAACTTTTTAACATGCAATTCAACTTGACCAACGTTCGGAAAGTTCTGTCTCATATCCAGGGGCCAATAAAAAGGCAGTTTAAGGTCGTAAATTGTCATATAGAGATTTGCCAATCCATAATACGTAAGATTTTCTTGCAAGCCTGCAAACATGAGCACACAATGCTTTTGACATTCAAAATTGTCGAAACTTTTGACGCAAGCTTCAAAGAGTTGGTCGACAAATGTTTTATCATTTGCGTCGTCTAAAGCAGCTCCTGCTCCGAGATAGAACGATTCTATGAAGTTTTCGAAAAACTCACTGTATTTTTCCATATTTGGAATCGCCTTCAAACTTTGCAACAAGCCATCTGTAAAATGCTCAGCTTCCAACGGTTCTACGTCTTGCCTCGCAAATGTGGCAATTTCGTTGCCTAAAACCAGGGTTTCAAGTGGAACCTTGTTCAGTACCGATGCTTGCTGGTGTCCAGAAGATGATAGAGGGAACCCACATGAGCTTAAGAAGTAGTGCATAAAAGGCTCCACAGGTATAACCTCAGACGCTCCAAAAACTGCGGCGGTTAGAAACGGTTTTTCACACCTCGCGATGCTTTTTAAAACTTTCACATCTGAATCCTTTTTGACCAACCATAGAATTGATGACAGACTTTGAAAATGAGCAGTCGGTTTTGAGCCATCTGTGCTGCTACTCGATGACGTGTTTTCTTCTTTGATTGTGTAGTCAATCGATTTTCTGGTGTCTAGAACCCGTGTTCCTAAAGAAAGTCCATCGTCGTCACCCGAGTTCTGCTTGATTTTCGAGATTAAACTCCGACGCGCTTTGGACGCAGAAGGAGCAAGAGATTTCCTCTGTCCTCTCAAAATTGAAGCATAAGCTGAGTAGTTTTCGAAGCATAACAAGAAGTGCTCCTTTAAAGGACACTCTTCCATGTCATTTATGAGTTGCATTAAATCGTCAATCCACAAACCAAATCTTTGAGCGAAACCCAAAAAGTCAGCCCAGTAGTAAAAGGGATCCTGGTTATTAATCTTAACTAATCTAGTCAGCGGGAAGAATTTCAAATAAGGAGAAAACATGAAAAGAAATGATGCGTCGGTCAGAAAGTTGCAGAAAAAGTCTGAGAAGTCACTTCCGCCGTATCCTAACATGTTTCTCTTGGAGTCTGCATAACTATCGATGACCTTTCCCGAGATCCTCTCAAATATTTTGAGGTCTACGCAGTCACTGTCAAAATTATTTCCATCCAATAGTCTTGCGCTGTGACGATTTTTTAGGAAGTTTAGGAGCTGTATTTTCATTCGCAGATAGAGAGGAAGTTCTCCCATCATCATTAGAAGAACTACTGCAGATGACACAATGACGTCATTTTTCGCATTTTCGCACGCAATGTCGAGAATATTTCGCACGCAGTGAAGTCTAAACTGCACTCTGGTTTTGTCTTTCAACGATGTCCATCGCAGCAGAATTATTTGAAACGCAAAAGATGGTCTTCCATGCATGAGAAAGTATTCGAAACTTGGTAAATAATGGTTAAATTCTGACACATCCATTACATCTTCAAAGTTCGGGTAGGTGCTCGGCAATTCAGAGAAGCTACCCGCTAGACCGACCGATCGCCTACGTTCGTTTGTTTTTTGCCAAAGAAACAGGCGCTCTGTCTTAACACCAATACTGTTTTCAAGCAGATCATACATCGAGCATGTGATAAGTTCCGGATATTCATCGCCAAGCATCAATTTTATAGTCTCATAAGACTGTGCGGCTTCCAGACACCGCGGCATGAACACCTTCCTTTGATCTTCCGTCATTAGATCCCAGTAAGACAGCATGGCTAGGTCGCTCAACCCCGGTTCCTGGAATGTCGACTTCTGCATCCAGAGAACTTTTGAATCCACCACAGTTTGAGCGAACTCCTCTTGACGAAGGTTTTGACCCAGTTTGTGATACACTATAATATTTTTCACATCCCAGTTAAAGCCGGAGAGATCACATTTTTCCACATCCACCAACGGTAACAAAGCCATAAGCGCATTTGATGACAGTTTTCCGTCAATTTTCGCCAATTTGCAAAACGATTTCAGCAATTCAGTTGCATCAGCTTTTAGGAATCTAGTATTGTCTTCAGTGTAAACGTAAAATTCCAAAGTTTGCTCAACTGTCGGAAACACGAAATCTGTGAAAACATAAACGTGTTCTAAAATCTCATTTCGGATATCATAACTTAAGTTTCGAACTACTTCGAAAATGTCGCTCGCTACAAAATCACATTTACTAATCAAATTTTTGGCGGCGTCAATTTGATTGTATTTCAGCGAAAACTTCAATTGGTCCAATTCCGAAACTAAGTGGCTAGCTCCAATTGAGCATAGCAGATCACGCTTTGATTCCTCTGAGAATTTGACAAGAGCATCGAATGAAAACTTCATGGAGCCGTCTTCATCATGTAGTTGGGATAAATCATTTGTCATCATTTTTTTAATATGATCTATGACCTCTGAACCCAAATTAATAGCCAGTTTCGAGTTTTCCTCCAAATACTGAAACATTTGTTTGGCAAACTCCGGCTCAAAACTACGACTCAAAATATCAACCAGAGCCTTTTGTGGCCTCAAATCGGCTTTCTGAAGCGTCTTTTTAATTTTAGCGTCTGATTCTTTTGAAATAAGCATTTGGACAACTTGTCTGCAGGCTGATTTTTGGACAAACGTCGCTCCGAGGTTCATGTTTCTTTTCGGTGCTTTCACCGAAATTTCTTCTTTTGTCGCTTGCTTTGGGTTAGCTCCCAATTTGGATGGTTGAATAGATGGTCGCAACTCAAATTTGACCCTAAGAGAGGTCAAGCACTTAGTGAGCCCATTCAAAATGAACTTTTTTGCTGCAGTTTGTGATTTCCTATCTTCACACAAGGCTTTGAAAACTCGCAAAACATGCTGATGTAATCTGGTTATGCTCACTTTCAAAAATGGATGAGACGCATTGAAATCAATCGCACACAAACAGTCGCATATTTCAGTCACCGACTCAAGATAATCTTCACTTTCACTAGTCGAAACATCAAGTTTACTCGTGAAAATATTTTCCCAATACGACAGGAAAAACGTGAGCAAGTTTTTCTGCAGCAGCGTGATATCTTGTTTTGCCGATTTGTGTTCAAGAACCAGATCCATGTTGTTAAGTTTGTTGTTTATTTTTGAGCTAGTGTTTGAATTTGAAGCCACAGCAACTTCGTCGAAATGCATCAAAATGTTCAATTTTTGTTTCTCGACTAGAATTACGGCTTTTATTGAAGGACAGCTAAATACAGTTTGACTTTCCATTAACTGCAAAGAACGCATCGTTTGTCCCGTTTTCATGTCCAAAACAGCAAATTCATTTGACGACCACAGGAACAATTTCCTATCGAATATGCAGAAACTTTCAGTACCTACTGAAAAGGGTAACAGCACCGTCCCCCACTTAATTCCGTCTTCCATAAAATGCAGTCTGGCCTCACTTTTGGTCGTTCTCTTGGAAAAATCAACTTCAAAGTCTGTTTTGACCAAGTAGGCACCAGCGACCGCCGCCATAAATTTATGCTCTAGAGAAACACTGAACGAGTAAAATTTCTCTCTCGGTAGAGGAATTTTGGATATTACTTCTTTTTGAACACAGCTGTAAGTTAAAATGAGGCTCTTTTCGGAACATACAATTACAAAATCTTCCAGTAAATGGGCGTTTACCGTTTCGACTGCTAAGGGCATTTGGAACTCGTACTTCACTTTGTGAGTTTTGAAGCCAGTTTGAATCACGACGAAATATCCATTCGTTGCTATTAGTAAAACTTCGTTGCTATTAGTTTCCGATTCTTTGCATGATTTTATATGCAATTGTTCTGATTTCAAATTCCATTCAAACAATTCAAAATTTGATTCAAAATCATTTTGAGGAGAAACGTGAATGAAATACAGATTTTCATCTTTCCATGCTAATGTCACAACTCCTTTCGATGTTTTCCGAAGAACTAACACTCCCGAAATCGACAACCACTTGGCTTCGGAGTTTCTCGGTCGTGTAAGTTGTAAAGGCTTGTTCGGCTCACTTCGGAAAAACGACACTTTCTCATTGTTCAAACACGAAGCGTATATTTCAGGAACAGCTTCTGATGTTCCTTCCTTTAATTCGGCTAGAAGCAAAAGTTCATTTCGTACAACTCTAGAGGAATTTTCGATACTAAGTTGGTTGACACTCAGAGGGAACAAAAACATCACTATTGAAGATCGCTTTATTTCACATAAACACTTCTGGAAAAGAGCTTTTGTTGATAGATTTTTGTAGGCACTAAATGTTTTTTTAATGTAACAGTTCATATGCAGGTTTTGACGACACACTAGTCTTAGTTTTTAGATACATGATGGTCAAAAACGATATTCTCTGAACATTCTTTGCGCAGAGACAGGTGGAAAATGGGACGCTCTTTAAAACCAACGAGGTCGTAAACTAGAGCCAACTCGCTAAATCCCTATCCTGGACCTGATTTATAGTAAGGCACTTTAATACAGCGTTATATGCCATGACTGAAAACATCAGTTGTAAGACTTCTTGTTTAAAAGAGCGACTGACAGACATATGTATTATCAATCCTGTTATCAATCCATGACATAATTTCTACATCTAAAACAAAACTGCACCTAAATAAACTAAAATAATGCCCTATTTGAAGGCCGAATTGAAAGCACGGCCAATCACCAGTCGTCTCACTTCCGAAGTTCCAGCTCCAATCTCGTAGAGTTTCGCATCTCGCAACAACCTGCCGGTCGGGTAGTCGTTTATATAACCATTGCCACCCAGACACTGTACTGCATCTAGGGCACACTGAGTTGCGTTTTCAGCCGAGAGGAGAATAATTGCGGCACAGTCTCTCGCGCTGAAGTTTCCTTCGTCGGCTGCTCGGGCTAAGTTGTACAGGTAGCTACGACACGAGTTAAGTCGGGTGTACATATCTGCCATTTTACCTGGAAGCATATATTCCTCGTCAGAAAACCTTCAAATTGGAGCAAGAAAACTTCAACTCCGATAGATAACTGACACCTTATTCAATCTTGTCAATTTCAAACAGCAATGCATAAAAATATTATCATTTCTATGAGTCGAAGTTATTATTTTTAAGGTCTTAACTAATATTTTGTTTATCTTCAAAAGTATATATTCGGATTTGATAACGATTGCTTGACAAAACCAACCTTGCATGAACTGGAAATGGGCAATGGGGGCTCCGAAAGCCTCTCTTGTATGCAAATAAGGAACTGTCACATCTAGACATGCTTGCATAATACCAACTGGCCCAGCAGCCAGCACTAGCCGTTCCAGGTCCAGTCCACTCAACATGACATAAACTCCTCTGCCCTCCTGGCCCAGCATATTCTCAGCTGGCACACGGCAGTTGTCGAAGATAAGTTCACAAGTTGTGGATCCACGCATACCTTCATAAACAAGGCAAATAATTCAATCAAATTTAAGTAACAGAAGCAGTTATTCTGTTGCAAATGTATCAAAATCGATCACTCACGGTTCACGTTTAATATCAGTTTTAGGAACTTCGAGAAGAAAAATTTAAAAACAAACAATTTCGGAGAATAACTTCAGATCGTCTGAGCTGATTCTGGAACTCAGGGATATTTCCGTGATACGAAAATTATTTAGCCTTATTTAAAAAAAACTTTTGACCCTGACAGCTCGATACAATATTCCAACAAGGCATGGTAGCATCACTAACCTAACTTGTCCAGCTTAGGTCCAGTTGAGAACCCTTTCATGTCTTTCTCAATCACAAACGCCGATATGCTATGTTGTGGCTTTCTCTCGCTCCCTGCCGTTTTTGCATACACTACCAACGTATCCGCATCTGCACCATTTGTAATCCAGAACTTGGTACCATTCAGGATATACGAATTACTACTTTCATCAAACTGCGCTTTGAGCTTCATACTTACAACGTCAGATCCGCTATTCACTTCACTCATTGCTAGAGCTCCTATGTGCTCGCCAGAAATTAATTTAGGAAGATACTTCTCTTTTTGAGAATCATTACCATGTCTGACAATTTGGTTCACGCATAAATTAGAATGAGCCCCGTAACTCAGTCCAATAGACGCACTGGCACGTGATAATTCCTCCATCGCTATACAGTGAGCAAGATAGCCCATCCCAGAACCCCCATACTCTTCAGGCGCTGTGATTCCCAGAAGGCCCAGGTTTCCCAACCTTTTCCAGAAATCTTTCAGTTCTGAGAAATTGTTCTCTTTATCAATGCGCTCTGCGTGAGGAGCCAGTTCATCTTGGGCAAACTTTGAAACTGTTCTTCTAAGTTCCACCTGGTCGGAACTTAAACCATATAGTCTATCATCTACTTCGGTTGCTGGATGATAATGCCTGGATAGAGCAATTACGGGGGAGCGTAACTTGGGTAAGATAATTAATCTGCTAATATTGCACAACATTACATGTCTGAAAGGTACGGGTTAAAATTAAAGCTTGTTTCCAACAGAATGCGCGACAGATTTTTAAGAACAGACGTTCTCAGATTCTGACATAATACTATCATCAGCTGCAGCTACAAAAAAAATTCCATGCTCCATCTGCCGGCAGAATCAGGCAGGTACTATCTAAAACATATTCGCATGTGTTACAAGGACGATTACGTGAACTATGGTGACAAAACACAATGATGGAAACTCTTCTAATTCTACACTTTTTTGCTATGTTAGCGCTGGTAATATAAATTAGTACAAATGAGCTCTCTAATATAATATAACTCATTAGCTAGATATTAGCTCCTTAAGCGTTAGGAATGTGATGACTTCTTTGAGAAACTCGGCTGGTTTCTCCGAGTGCACCCAGTGACCTGTGTCCAGTGTTGTTAAAGATACGTCCGAAAACAAATGTTTCAGCTGCTCGATGTCCTTGTCTCTAAAATAAAAACAAATAATTTTTAAATTCTTTAGCTTCATCCTCGTTTAAAAAACACGATCAACATACAAACAATTATTTAAATTGAACCGAAAACATAAGTTGAAAGAAAATGTTTCGGTCAACTAAACAAAAAACGTCAAAACTTTTTTTTTTTTAAATCACTTCGCGCAAAATTTCAGAACTAATCAAAAATGGTCCCAAATCTTTGCAAAACGCTTTTCAGAATCAAATTGATAGCTCGAAATAAGAGCGCATCATAAACTCAGATTATCACATGCACAAAAAAAAAACAACTTAGACAAAAATATTACTCACAAAATATAGTTGGACTTGGCACCTCTCACACACAGCATCGGTACATCAATAGGACCCTTCGTTAATCTGCTCTTGTATGCCTCGAAAGTGGTGTCCCATTTCGAGGACCTGTAGGACTCCAAGTATTTAGCTATGGCTGATACATTACACCTCCACTGTACTCCATCTTTGTCTGGCGACTGCATCAAATTTGTGAGAAGAAACGCCTGGACAGCCATGCTCTGTAAAACAAAGGTATTGCTCCACTAAAACTTTTTGGGGTAAAAGCTTCATGAAGTGATATCTTTCGATAGGCAAATGGATTGCCCGTAAAAAGTAAATTGATCAAAACTGAAAATTTTTTTGTCTTACAAGACCTTTTGCTTAAAACTTGGTGCCTCAAAATCAAATCTGAGAGCTTTCTGGCATTTAATTTTAAATGACATGCTGGCTTTGGGGGCTAGTTGAACGTCGGTTCTCATTTATTGAATATGAGTTTAATCTTATAGAAAACAGTAAGTTCTTCCTAAAGATATAATTTTAATTTCAAACTCACCTCTAGGAAAGAAATTGATGCTCCGACTTTCGTAACGAAAGTAACGGATAATTTGTGTTCGGGTGGGTTTTTTTCTTGAGACAAGATTCGACTTTTTAACTAGCCATTTTTGGCGGAACTTTTTTATATCATTCAAAAGATGTTGTCCTGAGCTTAAATTTGAAAAGATGTTTCACCTGTGATCATTTTCTCTAATCTTTCACCTGTGATGTTTCACCGGTGAAAAGTTACGGGGGTTTAAAGATTGCCATTTTGGCCATATTGGAACAATTAACGCGCGGCATATTTCGCGCTATTAACGTTTAAGCGGAGATGTAATCCGTCATAGAAATCGTTCCAAATTGGTTCAAGAAAGCTTATTTGCCATAATTTATTTGTTAATAGGAGCAAAATCTATCTTTTTGTACTTTATATGGCGTGTAGGGGGAAGATTTTCAAAAAATTTCAAATAAAAAAAAGTTTTATTTTTTACATTCAATTTTTTCATGTTATTAGACCTTAAAAGGCAGTCGGAACATTCAGGGCTTCACCCTGAAACGAGAAGTCTTGTTTCAATTTGTTTTCAAATAGCCACCTTGTAAATAAAGATTTCATGACCGGAGGGCGCTGGGTTATAGTTGAAATAATTGTCTGAATCACGGGCATTTTTTTGGGAAGAAAATGCTTTAACAGCCTTTTTGCAAGGTTTAGAACAAATCTCGATTTTCAGCAGATAATCCAACTCAAAGTTAGCATATATCGGCTCCTACAGCATTCTATTTAGAAAATTCAATCAGCGTATTAAAAAATCGACAAATTTAACGTTATTCAATTAATTATAAACAATCCATGCTTTCCCGCAGTACTGCTACGACCACAAAAATTGGTACCAACTTTGTGTTAGAGTGTTTCAGTTTTTTCGCCGTTTCTTTTCCAAGCAACATCATGTACTACAAATAAACGTCAGATGGGCTCGAGTTTATGTCATATAAAAGCCCTTTCAATCCTGATTCGATCCACATGTAAGAACTAGCAAAAAAATTAACTCTCAAGAAAAAACCAGTTTAATCAAGAGTTTCTGTGTGAATGCTGTTAACGGCAGTTATGGGACAGAAGAATTTCGACTGTTCATTTTTCAACCCTTTTAATTTTAATTTTTTAACCCATAAAATGAACGAACACATTTTCTGCATTGTTGTCGAGTTCTTTGTTACTACATGATGGCCATGGCTAACAATTTGACTCCTGATGCATGAAACTATTTGAAATCTCGTCGGATCAAAAATAGGAAACTGCTGATTTCAAGGCGCTGGATATTAGCTGGTCAGAAAGTTATTTTGGATGCTGAGAACCTCGTGAACAATACAAGGAGCCAAAAAACCGTTCATCAGAAGGCCTCAGATTTTAGCTAGGTTATCAAAAAAAGTCTCAGAAAATATAAGAAGTAACTCGGAAAACTATTAAGCAATTGCAAAAAAAGTAGACTTAGAATTCATAAATCTGATTTAAAGTATTTTGTAGCGAATAATCGATCCGCAAAGTGATCCCTTTTAGTGTATGGCCTTGCTAAGATCTTATACTTTCAAAGATTTGTTTGGAGTCCAAAAGATCAAAATATTTTTGTAGCACAAAAAAAACACTCTTTTAGCGCCCAAAACTACTTTCTGACCAAATTTGATTGAGTGACAAAACAACGCCTTGAAACCAACATTTTACATTTTTCTATCCGGCCAAGTTGTTTTAAATAGTTTCCTTCATCATATGTCAAAACTTTTGACAATAACCTCATGTTACGTAGAAAGCGACTAAAACATGAAGGTTCAAAATTAAAAATTACAACAATTTTGTTTCTGTGACAGTGCATTGGTTATATATTTTAAAACTAAAAATAATTGAATCCTTTTTTTCCAAAATGCAATCATAAGAACACATCACTATTGAGCTGCGAAACGGTTTATAGAAACATTTATAGATCTTTCGAGGTTATCAACACTGATGTATCTCGAGAAAAAGGCACATAAAGATTGATTCGATTAAAAAATCTCCAACTTCCTTCTCAAAAGTCAACTCCCAAAATCTACTTAGCTACGAAAAAATATGGTTGCTTTTGCAAAACTTCATTTCAATTATCACTGGGGTCGGATTTTCATGTGCAACCTGTGCGTCAACCGGCTATACTGTATACTTTGTTTTTATCGAAGTTAAGAGGTTTAAATGTTTGAGTAAAAGTACAACCAAAAATTGTGACTATGGTCTTACCGGAATTTTATCCTCCAGCACATCTGATATTTCAGCCTTGACTTCAGACACACTCTTCCCGTCAAAGTAAGACAAGTCGACACTCTTCAGGATTTTAATGGCAGCAAAAGGCGAATTTATGTCATCTGTTGTCACTAGTGTCTTCATTTCTCTCGCGAAGGGGTTGGAGTCTTCAATGATAGTGGCACAAAACAGATCGGGCTGAAAATTTTACAATGAGTTATAATATACTGTATAATACAATTTGTAGATAATTTCCGATTTTTCGTACCAAGAAATGTAGCAAAAGGATTTCGAAAAATTAAACACTCATTGACTTGTAAAACTACGCGTCATATATGCATTGTTGAAAAAAAAACAACGTCAAAACCTTTAGACTTGAAAACCATCAAAAAGACATTAAACAGAGGAAAAACTTGTAGAGAAATAGCTGAAAGCTCATTAAATCCCTGGTTTCAAAAAATCCCAAGTTGCGAAACTAAACCTGACCATAGGAATGATTAAGTCAACTTACGTTGTTGAAGACAGCGTCAAATGCCACCCTTCCGCCCATACTATGTCCTAGCAAGATACACTTGGAAGGATAGATGTGATTGGTGAGGTAGTGGATGACGTCATTGGCCATGGCTGGTTGAGAGTGGGAGGGGGAATGAGGACTGTCTCCGTGGTTCCTCAGGTCCAAGCAATGTACCTAGTATGAGCATAATTTCATTAATATTATGGCGCAGTGTTATTGATATTTGCATAAAAGAAAGATTGATATTCGACAATTGCAAAACAGATTCAAAAATTTTTGAAACGTAAGGTTTTTAAATTCTAACGTAAAAACGAAGCCTCTTTTTGCTTGAGCACGAAAACTGATAGATAAATTTTTTGAATTGAATCAAAAAAGCCGTGTAGACTTGTTACATTCATCATGAGACCGAAGCAAAAAATTAAGAAAGGAATGAAAAGCCTATTCAGATGACGAATTTCACCAAAAATATTGGCAAATTATTGAGTAAATTGTGGGATTCGAACTCAAGTCTAAAAACTTGATGACACTAACTTATCTCCTTGATTCCTGAACCGCTTTTAACTACAATCGTATCGATGCGATTAAAGACACGGGCTCTCTTTCGGGCTCTCTCTAACCAACTGAGCTCTTTCGGGCCCACGAGTACGTAGATACAAAAGATTCAAGTGATTCTGTTAAACAGGTTGACCCCAAAAAACGTCTATATTCCGGTTTGATAACGCTTGCTAATCGCAAGCGTAAACAATCCAAAAACTACCCTCCAATTTTTAGATAATCTCCAAAATCAGAAGATTATAGCTAGGACAACGTAAAAACCAGTAGAAAAAGACAAAAGTAGACTTCCAATTGAATTAACCTGATAAATGGGAAATTTCCAGGCCAAAACTTCTTGACACTGAAAGCACTTTTTGGATTTTTTGGGTGTATTTGTTTACTTATGAGAGGTCTGACCAAAAAATCTTTGGCACTCTGATTTCTTTATGCATCAACAGATAAATTCCAGAAAAAAACCAGAGCAACCAAGAAAATTAAGAATACCTCAGTGAAATTAACTATATAAAAACAAATTTTTTCTACAGACATTGGACACTTTCTCAATAGCTTCAATGGGTTTAGACCAGCTAGGCTGTTATTTCCACAGTTTTTGAGCCAATCTAAGTAACATAGATTCAGGTTACACGACCTGCCCGGACTCGAAGTCATAGCTAGCGCCTTTAGTCAAATGCACTTAAGTAACCTCAACACCATCTCCGCGGCATCACTAACTGTATAGCTTCAGTTTAAAGGCATAAATTCAAATCGACCTATATAGTTTACGATTCAAACCTAAAGTGAGAGTGATCCAAACCGCTGTAGTTTTCGAGAAAAAAAATTTAAATATTGAAAAAAACGGGTATCTGATATGCAGGCATGGTCAAAATGTGTGTTGGTTGACAAAATTTCAGATACGAGGAAATTATTCAGTGATTCTATTGGACAAAGTGTTAACAAGAAAAAGAATTGCGAACTGATAAAACTTGGCAAACAAATCTGTAAAATTCAAAAACAGAAATAAGTATTTGAAATAAAAATTAAAAATTTTATAAAAATTGTAATAAAAATTCCTCAAAAATCTTGTAACTCAATTATCCTTACCAATGGAGCTTTAGAAGGTAATATGTTACAATAAATAGTAGCTTTGAGATTAGAGTATATAGTAAATTTGAGAACTATAATGCATAAAATAGCTATTTTATTTTCAATCAATCGTACATGCTGCTAAGATAGGTTTTATAAATACATTACTTTGCCAGATAAAATGTTTTTCAAAAATTCAAGATTTTCACATTTTTTGCCAAAAAATTGACTTTTGAATAAATTATGACACAGAGGCGAAGTTGCACTTCGTATACACAAGCAAACACATGGCCGATAACGCTACTGGGAAAAACTGAATGAGTAAAACTTTGAATCTACAAAATTTCTTTGTTGACGCACGCCAATTATGGTCTAGATAATTGCTAAGTGACGCAAGACAATTATGAATCATTAGCAGTATCAGTCAATTTGAAAAAAAAAAGATATTTCTCAATTGCACATGCCTCAACTTATAGTTTAACTAGTATACGAAAAAGTTCATTAAAATCTCCCCCCTAAGTGACCAACCGTAGAATGTCCCCCCAAGCCGCGCATTAAACTTGAAAATTTATACTGTATAATGCATGCATTTCGAACAATAGCATTTGAATGCTCTTAATCATCTAAGCTAACGTATTTTTAATCAATTTTCTCTAAATTAATTTGATTTTATAAATCTAAGGTATACTCAGTTTTTTCCTGAAAAATCCATATTTCCCCCTAAATCAATTTGGCGGGTGAGAAGGGAAATTGCACGGTTGATCAATTTGTGCTAATATCCTTAGCAGTGGCTGTACATAATAGCTGGTTATTGGTCAAATGAACACATGTTGTCGCAACATTTGCGTCTCAACAATATTTGCGACTTAGGTTCGAAAAAAGAGAGTTCATACTATAACTCAAGCTTTGCTGATGTAGACACTGTTCGAAGCATAACAAAAAGCAATCCAGCTATTAAACTTGAACCTGCGACATTGTAATATATCACCTTTTAGAAACGGTATTCAGAAAACAAGAAGACAGCTGAACCTTCAAAAAAAATCGCGCTACAGGAACTAAGCCGACAAAAACAAAGAGAGGGACGACAGAATTTGAAATTTTCTAATTTGCAAAAAAAACAGGTCCGGACCGATTCGAACCACAAGCCTTTGTCGTCCTGAGGAAGTTTGTTAAAGCTACGACAGATACGCTGGATAGTGGATTGAAATTATTGTTAACCAACTTGTACGAAGTCGTCTACGGAGAGAAAAACTACTACCCTGTTATAACATTCTCGCTAATAAGTAAGGGTAAATATAAAATAAAAACGATATTTGTATGATAATGACTATTTGTTACGTCTAATTTTGTTTGAAAATTTGTTGCTAAACTTAATTATTTGGAGAAATAAACTTTCTTTCTTTCTTTTTATGTCGAACTCGTTTCGGTTATCGGCAAGTTAACAAATAATTCACTGCTTATCGGGCAATGCAAACACCAGCAAAACTTTTTCTGACAATATTAGCTCATTCCTCCGAGTTAATTTTTGAATTTAAATTTTTTTATTCCAGTTCCTCTTTTATTGGATTGTACCGAATTTCAGGCAGTCATAATAAACTGAGGACAGCTCAAATACGAGACGAGCTTCTGAGCTCTTTTTTTCAGATTCGGAATAAAAATGTTCCGCCTTTTTTAAAATAATAATCGGTTAGACCTCCTTGGGGGGATCCCACTTTTGCTATTTAAGCACATTCCTTTCTGTCCAACCTTCCGAGTTTTTCTAAAAACTCCAATAAACAAAATTGAGGGGATCGGAAAATTAATTTGGCCGACCTAAAAAGAGCACCACCCTTCCTCAAAAACGCTGCATCAGCGCTTAGTCACTGCTGAGCATTTTGAATACAACAATTTCAAGGTTAAGAACTAGTGCTGATTTAAATTATGCGGACTTAAAACGCGTTTTGCTCAAATTGGGTCGACTTTAGGTGAAAAATGATTAACACAACTTCATTAGAGTTTCAACAGAATTAATAAGGTGCGATTTAATTTATGAAACTCGGGCCCTACATTATTCCCCAAAACTGGGTCTTTTTGGCTTCTTTTATTTAATCAAGAATTACGCTGAAACTACTTCGTCGACCATTGGCATAATTATATCAAAGTGAGCCCCTTACGTAGCCCAACAAAACTTTTATACGGGTATACACTCAAAAAAATTGCATAAGCTTATGTTTTTTGATAGACAAAAAAGATCGTTTTTACTATAGAAAACACCATTTTTTATTTAAAAACAATTTTTAAACATTTTGCGCAATTTTTGGAGTGTATACCCTTCTCGAAGTTTGTTGGATTACGTAAAAGGCACAATTTGCTAAATTATTACACAGGTCGACTAAGTAGTTTCAGCGTAATTCTTGATTAACTGAAAAAGCCAAAAAGTCTCAATTTGGGGTGAAAATTTGGTTCTGAATTCCGCAAAAACACCATGAAAATTCTCGAAAACTATACGCACTTTGTCCACTTCACTTTTAGTCTTATCTCAACTCAGTTTCATAAAAACGCGTTTAAAATTTCAATTTTTGTTCGTTTTGTCCGGATAATTTAAATCAGCACAGTGGCTGTCCTAGAGTTGATTCCGAGCTAGCATGACTTCGGTGAAAATAATTAGGCAGCAGTTATTTTATTCTGATTTCAGTTAGAGTTTTGCGATGATTCATCATTCTTGTAATGGTGCAGACAATAATTCGACATATTTTGTCCAGTTATGATATTTGATCTACTTACGTCAATAGAGCACTGCTTCGCAATTCTTCGAGACAACGCACTGAAATTTCTACTATTTCCGAATACACCATGCAACATAACCATGACAGGCGAATTTTCGACTTTCGATTTAGCCGAATGTACTTGAGCATTGAGCTCTATTACATCTTCAGATTGAGCTTCTGCTAATGTGCTGCTTTGTCGGATGAACTTCTTGGATTCGTTACATAATAATTTTCGGTAGTTAAATATAGTGCGTAGCTTCATGACTTATATGAAAAGGTCATCTGTATCATTAAAACACCTGTCATTTAGTAACACGGGTGTCTAACCATGTCCTCGCTTGCCCTGTGTCTAATGCTAACCCTAAAAGAATTCACCCTGAGACAATTAAAAAAAAAACGAGATAAAAGTTAATTTGTGAAAGGCTAACTTCATTTCAAAATCTGATCTAATCAATTTACGAACAGTTTGAAAACTTTCTTCGCGTCGTTCAGAGGCATGGAAAGTTCAATGCCTTTCCTTGTAGCTGGTTGTTTGAAACTTCATATTGCTGTCACCGCCAAATAACTCTTTGGCTAAGATCCAATTCTGGCTACATTAAGACAACCTTTATTGCGACTCACAGTTGTTGAAAAACACTTTCAACCAGTCTCGCAAAAACTCCTTTATTCTTTGCAAAGCCTTAATTCTATAACAGAATCCCGAGACCTCAAACTTTGAACTTTTCGCGTTTTTTCAACATCCATCAATCTATTCACTTCGTCTTTCTCTGTTTCAATGCCGTAGCTGGCGCCCACTCTAGCAACGACTCCATGACATCTTCTTCCATAACTGGGTCATAGAGAGTCGATATCTTGTGCTTCAAATCTGCGCGACTCTTAATTGTATTGGACACTACGTTTCGGTTCAGTTTCTCCCCGCGGTAGCCCAGACCACGGCGTTCTTTTGGGTTTTTGGGTCCCTCCGCTTCTATGGGTTCTATGATTCCGGGTTGACTGGAACCCAGACTCTGACCTGGTTTCCAACCTTGCTTCATCATTAGTTGCCTGGCAAAATCCTAAACAAATTCGTTTTGGTTGGATATCAAAAAAAACCTTAGTCTAACCACAGCTCAAGCTAATACTCTCGTTTTGACATTTCTTCAATGAAAACTACTTCACGAACTATTGATACCATATTATTGTAGAAAGGGAAAGACAAATGGTTGACTATTTACGCCTACTCAAATCAATTTACTTTCAAGGCCCCTTCAAAAACTCTTCGCAGATTTAATTTGAAAAAACGGTCAAAATACCGCTTTGAGAACATTTTGAATCATTTTCTCGTGTGTTATTAGTATGAAACGGTCCCTATAGAAAAAAATAGGTTCGTTCGACCGAAAATTGTTGTCTTTGGAACTTACTGGGTTTAATTTCTTGCCACTGTCCAGACGAGGTTTTATTTTATATTGGTGGCCTGCTCTGAGCATCTGCTGTTTGCGCATATTGACAAAATCTTTCGCATCCTGGTCCGCATTTGCTCCTAAATGAAAGAAAGTTATGCAATTGATCAAAGCATGTTCTGAACAATTCTTCTGCTGGAGATTTTTGACAACCGTAATCAGAAAACGACTACTGCTTCTATCTTTTTTGGGTTTGTCTACGTTTCCGTTCTATGAAAAGCTTATGGTACTCGAACGAACGGCGGCTAGACTAAAATGACAATTCAAACAACACATCATATGAAATATCGATTTAGGGGTGAGAAAACATGGATTTTTTATCAGCTAACTTTCAATATCAGCTGTCATCAATGTTATCAGCTAACTTTCAATATCAGCTGTCATCAATATTTTCCACGAAGTGCATGAAAACATTGATGACAGTAGCAAAATGAACAGCGCTGAATAGTCGCTTTTTCTTGCCGCGTTTAAACAAATTGTTTTGCTTCGAATTTCTCAATTCTTTCTTTACGTGTGAAATTCTTTTACTACTAATTCCAAACTTATGTATTTAACTGAGAGTTCCTTTAACATGGGATCACGTTTTGAGAAAGATATGTATTCCTCGATGCTGGAAAAGATTTTTGACACCAATGTGAGACAGATTTTCGATAAATTATTGACGGATCTGGGCAAAAAAGATGAGATTATTCTAGATCTTGAGAACAAAGTGGATGATTTGGAGCAAAGAGTATCTGCACAGGAAAGGTATTCTTCTAAGGATTGCCTAATTTTGGAGAACCTGCCAATAGTTAACAATCAGGTACCGTTGTCACATCAGGTATGCGATTTTTTGGCCCAATTTCTTCAGTATAAAACTAGCCCGAGTAATTTTAAAGCCTGTCACTTGCTTGGAACGTGGAAAAATATCAATTATCCCCCAGCTGTGATAGTTAAATTTTTATATTTTGGGGAAAAAGTGAAATCTACAACAGAAAATCTTGGTTGGCTAACATTCGAAACCCGAATAACAACAAACAAATTTTTCTCAAGGAAAGGCTTCCACCGGCAGACCGTCTACTCAAACAGTACGCTGATGATTTGGGTCTTGTAAATACCAGTCAGAATTGTCAGGTTAAAATGTTTAAAATGGACGACAGAGGAATTTACAAATCTTTTCCCGTTAGTTCGAAAAAGGCGATTGATGATATGAAACACTTAGCGACTAAGAAATCTGACAAATTTCAGTCGAAAACTGGAAAATCTACGGAAAATTATAGTGTATCTGATTATGAAAGAAATACGACACCAATCAGAGCAAATAATATTCAACGGGCGGAAAATATTAAATCTATTCTGAAGCGATTACGTGACTCCCCAGAGCAAGAAGGAGAACAATTATTGGAGCAATCATGCAAAAACAGAAAAACTCTTTCAGAATATGTTGTAAATCCCTACGAGGAAGGTTCATAGTTATTCATACATTTTTGCATGCTCTATGGGGTTGGGATTGATGAAGCATACAAGAATGTTTGAGCGTGGCTTGCAAGTCAGCGCCTAATTTTTTCTGTTTCTTATTTTTGTTGATAAATGAGTAAATTATATTATCGAGACAAGTGGGCGTATTAAATAGCAGTTTTCTTTTTTTCTTGAATATTAGATCTTTGCGATGTCATTATGATGAGTTAAAAATTCCTATTGACGACTTTGAGGTTAAGCAACCAATAATAGCCCTTTGCGAGACATGGCTAACGGACAATGATCCCTTATCAATTTATTCAGTTGAAGGCTACCAACCTATAATAACTACTAACAGAAAAGGTACTCGCGGAGGTGGTTGTGCATTTTTCGTTAGATCGGATTTAAAGGTGTCAAAATTGCAATTGGAATCAGATCTTGACTTTCTAGCTATATCTGTTAAAAATGAAAAACATTCGAAAAATTTTATTGTTTTGTATAGAAAACCATCTTCTGCACTAAACGACTTTTTTGAAAAGCTAGAATCTTTCCTGGATACGGTGGCTACTTGGAAAAACCAAACAATAATATGTGGTGATTTTAACATAGATTCACTTGATGCTTCAATCACTAGTGAGGATTTTTGACATTAATGAACTCATATGGGTTTCTCCAACGCAACTTTGAACCCACACGTGTTACATCGTCAAGTCAGTCTTGTATTGACTATATTTTTACCAATTCTTGTTTGAACAAAATAAATACTTTAAAAACTGTAATCAGTGACCATTACTCAATTTTACTTGAAATTGATGACTTTAAAAGTAAAAATGACATTAAAACACAGAGCGTTTTCCGAAACATAAATCCATTGAAAAATGACAAAAACCTGGTGGATTTCCTTTTCTTACTACATGAAAAACTCAATAAAATGCAAAGTTCACTAAACGCTGATGAGCAGATAACTTACATTGTAAACAGCTTAACACGTATTTTAGATAAATTTTGCCCATTATCTCAGGTGAATAATAAAGCAAAACCAACTTGGATTACCCAGGATATTAAAAAGCAAATGCAAAAGAGAAACATGTTCTACAAAAAATGGATAATTGATCCAACTCCAACAAATTTAGAGAAATATAAATTGTCCCGAAATTTAACCACATCGCTAATAAGAAATTCGAAACTAAAATTTTACCAACAAAAAATCGAAAAACAATAAAAGTATTTTTCAGGCATATAACGATTTCTTACAAAGCAAAACATCTGCCAAAATAGAAGTTGAAGCTGATGTCTTCAATCAGTTTTTCGCACAAACTGGTAATAAATTAAGTGGTAAAAAAGTCAATCATAAAATTGCCTTAAGGCATGTTAAATCTGTACCTAATTCAATGGTTTTTCAGGAAATAACAACAAAAGAAGTTTTTGATACAATTATTCTTATTAATAATAAGGGGTCTTCAGGTCCGGATGGTATAAGTAATCAAATTTTGAAACTCTCGTCGACGGTTATTAGCGAACCTTTGTCAAAGTTATTTAATCAATGTATAAAGCAAGGAACGTTCCCGAATGCACTAAAAATTGCAAAGGTGCTTCCGTTTTATAAAGATGGTAATTGTCAACTACCAGAAAGCTATAGACCAATAAGTTTACTCAATTCGATAAGCAAGGTTTTTGAAAAGATCATTTTTGGCAAAATGTATAAGTTTCTAAGAAAATATCGAATTCTCACAGCAGAGCAATACGGATTTCAACCTAAAAAAAGTTGCGCTGATGCTTTATTAGAATTTACCGAGTTCATTCGGGAAGTTATTGATAAACGCCGTTACGGTGAAACATTTTCATCGATTTCCAAAAAGCTTTTGATACAATAAACCATGAGTTACTTATTCTTAAGTTAGATAAGAATGGAATAAGGGGTAAACTGAACAAACTTATCCGGAGTTATTTAACTGATCGCAAACAATATGTTGCTTTTGACCAAAAAGAATCTAGAATAGAACATTTAACATGTGGCGTTCCGCAGGGTTCTGTTTTAGGACCTCTGTTGTTTCTAATCTTTATTAATGATCTTCCGATTGTTTGTAATACAATTAAACCAGTTTTATATGCAGATGATACAACTTTATGTTATTCAAGTACAATAAGGACAAATAAATTTGAAAACGAAATGAAAAATATTGAAAAATGGATTGATTGTAATGGCCTGACAATCAACTGTAAAAAGAGCGTTTTTATGAGTTTCGGTAAAAATGTTGAAATGATCGATGTATTTGGAGATAATTTTCAATCGAGCTACCAATTGCCTGTTAAATATTTGGGATTAAAAATTGACAATAAACTGAGTTTTAAGCAACATATATGTGGCATTGTTAAAAATTTATCAACTTTCTGTGGAATAGTTTACAAATGTCGTGAAGTTTTTCCGAAAGCAAGTCTTCTGTTGTTCTACAGAGCATATGCTCAATCCGTAATTCAATATGGTATTCTTATTTATGGCAATACATATAAAACTCATCTCGATTCAATTTTAAAACTACAAAAACGCATCACGCGGGCTATATTCTTCAAACGCAAATTTGAACCAATAACCCAATATATGAATGAAAACAAAATTTATTCAGTCTTTAATATGTTTCTGAAGTCTCTCTTCAAAGAATTATTTGAAATTTTAAGATGCCCCGATAAGAATAGTTTTTTTGAGTTTATCGAGCCTAGAAAGGCTTCCTCACACCCGCAGCAAGACTAAAAAACAAATTACAAATATAGCTTTTAAATCAAACGCCATGATATTCTCTCTTAAACGTAGGCTAGCAATAGCATATAATTTTGTTTTTCAGAATAATTTACTTCCAAAAGATTTTTTCGAATTAAATAAATCAGAACTGAACCGTTTTCAGGAATCTTTTTTCCATAATTATATTTTTGATAATGAATTTTTACACAAACTGCTCTTTAATTGATGCCCACTCTGGAGACTTTATGTCTCTGCTCTTTAAGTTCTCGAGGTGTCCCACTCGATAAGATGAAATTCTCTTTGGGTCACCCTCCATGCCTTATAATAGTATTCATTACTGTTGTAATGTAGATGGTAAATTAAATATTTAATTTTGAGGATAGCCTAGATTCGTACACTTTTAACCAAATTCCTAAATAAAATTGAATTAAATACAATTGCAACCCCGCATAAAAAATGTTAAAACCAATTGTGTTTGCGCGTTTGTATGAGCTGCATATTTCAAACAGAATCAATTTTCAGATTTAATACATGTGTTATGGAGCGCATTCTACGGTAGGTCACTTGGAGGGGAGTGCATTCTACGGTAGGTCACTTGGAGGGGGGTGCATTCTACGGTAGGTCACTTGGAGGGGGGTGCATTCTACGGTGGGTCAATCCCGTTATTCAAGTATTAAATCTAGCCATTTCCAAAAGCCATCACTTACCCTGGCCCTTCCAATAAAGCGACATGTCTACATCCAAATCATCGGTCGTTCTTTCATCGAAATCTCCCTTGGCTTCCTCCCACAAAGCCGAGTCACAGTAGAACACCAAACCCGAACTGCCCTTCTCCCATACAAGTTCCACTTCGTCTTCGAACAGACGTTCTTTGATTCTGTCCTGTTCGAAAGTGTTCTCGTGGAGACGCTCTCCTCGCTCCCAATCTTCCTCGCCATCACTCCCACTGCTTTCCGCTTCGTCTGCCTCAGTTAACTTCGCTTTTAAAGCAGCCGCAGTGTCCTAAAAATAAGTCAACCGATCCTAGTTTAAAAAAACTTTAGTGTTTTCCCCTAAGCTAAGGAAATCAATGTCAGGCTAATCAAATCAAGCAAGGTCAACACATACATAAAAAATCAGCAATGATATGAAAACCAGTTCTTTCAAAGTTCATAAATGAAGCCAAATAATAGATCAAGTTCAAAATTTGTATATATTTATGTCTACTCCTGGAATGATGAGATGATACCAACCCTTTTTCGCTGATTTAGCTTCTTCACTTTAGCTTCCTCCAACGATTTCAAGACAAAACCATTCGCAGTTTTTGTCGCACTCTTATCGTTCATCATTTCGGCATCACTTTCATCTGATATATGTTTCGCCCCATCGTAACTGTAAGGCACACTTCCATAACGCCTGTTGCTCCGTTGCTTAGGGAATTTCAGGCCCAACTTCTTGATCAGAGAGGCAGGTAGCTGACACTTAGCAATTTCCTCGAAAAAATAAGCAGTAGGGGTGCCAACACTGCCTATAACGAAAAATAAGCACCACTCAGTTACGATTTTCAAGCTACAAAAAAAAAACGTTAAAACACAACAAGGTTTATAACTTACCCTTTGGAAAGGAAGATGGTGGGTTCAACTCCTTCAAAATAGCCTTCGCATCTGAAATGCATTATAGGATATAAAGTTTCACATATCATGATACTTATTTTGAACAGCAAGGAACACAACTCAAAAACGGGTTTATTATTTTTTAAACAGTCGAGCAAGCCCTTCGGAAACATTTGCAAATAGATAAGATAAAAAAATGACAATTGATATGAACAGAAACCGAAAACAAGAGTAGCACATAAAGTAGCACATAAAGTTCCGACCACGTTCCTCAACAACTTAAAAGAGCAATTGATTAGAGGAAATAGATGAAACTAACTTTTTTTTCGTTTCGAATTTTTGCTCTTATTTGTACGTGATATGATGAAAAGAACTAGACAAAAGCTTAGAGCGTTAGTAAATTAGACATTTTTCTTCAAAAGTTAATGCTAAAAAATCAAATTTCAAACGACACAATGCGAGGCGAGTAAGCCAATATAAAAAAAGCCCGAACAAACATTTTGAGAAAAATATAAGGTAAATAATAAAAATTAGATTTGGTTTAGAACCAACAAACACACATTTCGAATGAAACGGGAATTTAAAATTAAGATGAGCTCCCTTTTTCAGCAAAAAACGCCCTTCAACTCTGAGCGCCAAAACAACAGAAACGAAGCGGTGCTTCGCACCACCGTGATTGAAAACTTGATTCAACAGCAATATTACTAAAAAACAACAGACCAAAATATTTACGGGCGAAACTTCGAAATTCCTAGTCTGATATAAATCAAAAAATATTTTAACTACTGATTATATTTTACAAGACCACAATAAAAACGTATTGAATACAATCAATGAAAATAGAACTTGAAAAGCATAGTTCGAGAAAACTTAGCCGAATGAATGTTGGCCGAAAACCAGAGAGAAAAACTTAAGGTAAACAAAAACGACATTAGTAAAACTAGCCGGCGGAAAATAGCTTTAGTTGCTTCTGCAAAACGATATGAAGTATGCCTTTACTTTGAAAAAAGTTTCGGAACAAACTTATGGATATATACCAATCAGCAAACTGAAACACGTGTCTAAGTAAGACTTGAGATTTAACGGAAAAAAATGATGGGAAAATTCAGGCTCGTGAATTTTCTTCCACTAAAAAAACTTGTGGAAATCAAAAGTAAAAATAAACTTCAATGAGAATTGAAAAATTGTACAGAAGCGAAGCTGAGCTTCGCGACACTTGCGAAACAGGAGTAGAAACAGCTTGACTTCAAAAGATGTGACCATATAAAAAAGAAACCGAAAAACAAAAAAGTAAGGTTCGTTCATGCATAAATTTAATTAAACTTTTAAGAGAAGTTTCTTAATGGCTCGAGCTGGAGGAATTTTTCAGAAATAAAACATTGCTTATGGATCGTTTTTGACATTTTTTTTACTTGGGTTTATGGATCGAATGATGTCTGGATGGATCGATTGATGGATGGATAGCTCGGTGAATTGAAGGATGCATGTATGGAGGGTTGGCGGTAAATGGCCGGATGGATGGCTGGCTGAATGAATAGATGGGTTGGTGGAAGGCCGCACTGATAGTTGAACGGATGGCTCGACAGATAACCAATCGATGCCTAGAGAGCTTAATAGCTAGTCGAATGGCTGAGAAGGAAGATGGATGCCTGGATCGATGAATGGATGGTTGGATCGACAGATGGCTGGTTGGAATGATTGATGGATCAATGAAATACTGGACAAATCTACCGATAGATAACTGGGATGGATGGATGACCTCATCGATCGATGCAGTCCTGAATGGATGGCAGGATGCATGGACTGATGGATGGAGGTCAGGTCGAAAGAATGGACGGCTGGAGTGCTATAAGGATGGCAGGTCATAAGATTAATTGGACGGATCGGGGGCTTGATGGATGACTGAATGGATAGCTGGATGGATGGATGAATATATGGATGACTGGTGGATTTATGGATGAAACGATAGATGGGTGGCTGGAAGCATGGGTTGGTTGCCAGGTTGGCTTCAGGAATGGATGGCTAAAAGAATGGATGAGGCGCTCACTGGATTCCTCGATGAATAGATTGCTGGATAGATGATTAAATGGTGGGTTGGACGGACAGACAGCCAAATTTGTGGCTAGATGGGTGACAGGGTGAATGAACGGATAGATGGCTGGATGTTTGGCAAAGATGACTGGGTCGCTGAAGAGATGGTTTCTTGTATGGCGGCATGGATTATTATTTGGACAGATGGCCAAATCGATGGATCATTGAACGGATTGACGGGGGGCTGCAGGGCTATATAAATGACCGGATGGATCCTTACGACTGCTCGAAATCTTCTGGATATACTTTTACGATTAGTAGTAGTAGTAGTAGTAGGGCTTTTGTGCTCGTAGCACAAGGGGTTTCCCCCTGTCAGTTTTTCGTTCTATAGTGAAGTTTTACTTCTACAGTCATTCATTGTGCAATCGCAAGAAATTCTCCATGTGCACTTGTTCATTTGTTCGTAGTCCTTCTCAAATTTTCTCCAAAATAACCACAATATTCGCTTCTTCAGTCTGCTTGTTTCTCTCACGTCAATTTTGATCACATTCGCTAGCCGACATGTTTGGTAAAAGAATTCGTCCTCCAAAAATTTCTTTTTCGGCCTCTCGAGCTGAAACATACAACCGCGCGAGGAACAGGAATACGATGGAACATTCAACATCGTAATTTTTCGATAAAATTTTGACAGCAACAGAAGGTTGTTGATCTGTATTTACATTCTGTTGCTGTTCTGTTGATTGGTACGATGTTGATATTCCATGCAGCTGGAGAATTGGATGTTGGTGCCTCTTATGCAGAGATTCTAACTGCAGACTGCCTCCTGTCAACGCCCATCCCAGACTTGACATAACGTCCACCTGACTGTATCTCATACTTCATTACTGACTCTGACTCTTGACGGGCCAACGGCCGCTCAACCTTTGGTTGTAAAGCTACAATAATTATAATAATTATTACATTAGTGTATTGTCCTGCTTTGCCTTGCCCGCATCCTCCTTGCCGCTACCCCTGCTCTTAACCTCCCCTACCTCCTACTTACATAGCTACAGCCTTACATTTGGCCTTTTGAAATGGCCTTGCAATCATGAATTTTAAAACTGGAAAAATTTCTTAATCATTGCAATATATGATACCGCTAACGTGCAAAACTTCTTAATTGTTGGAAAACTTAAACGTGAGACATGAAAGAAAAAAAAAAAAAAAAAGATAATGAATACTACTTAACTTGAAGGCATTTATATTTAAAAATATCTCTTATGGGAACATAAATGAATAAATAAGATAACAAAATTTACTTTGATTTTGCGGTTTAATATATGAAAGAAACAGAAACAAGAGACTTTTTTGAAAATAAGAAATATATGGCCTTAAAACTCTACGAATTTCAAAAATAATTTATGATTGACAGTTTTTGATAAAATTAACCCAATTTGAGGAAAAAACTGGAGTGTTAGGTAAAATTTGTACTGCGCTGGTAACTTAAAAAACTAAATTCAATTTACCAAACTCGAAATCGATCACCTATGCTTGCGCCATTTCGATCCCACTGCGGTCACGGTTGGAAGGGTCCCATTATCATCCGCCTCCTCAACGTCGGACCGGCTGCGGCAAACTGGATAATTTCTATCTCCCTCAGAGAAAAAAGGCCACATGTTGAATGACTGGAGCTGGGCCGACGGGTCGCAAAAAAATTTGCGCCAATTCAAACTTCGTAAATGAAGAGCGAAAGAGCATGAATTGAACTCAAAAAGTGAATATATAGCAAAGGGTATTCCTATACGATTCTGCAAACAGAGAAAAAAAACGTCACTACATTGCTAAAAACTATCCGAAGTGAATTGCTAACTGTGTCCTTTTCTAACCCCCTTAATTTTGAACCGTACATTTGAGCTTTCGTGGAGCGTAACTCAGTTTTACAATCTACCCAGTTCTGGTCCGCGTAATAGGCGACAGAGAGTCTTCTCTGTAGTGTTCTTGAACCTGCAGAAGAGACTAACATGTAGTCTCATCAAGTGAATCTACCCTGTGACGGTAATTTTTGTATCTTTAATTTTAAGCTAGCCTTGAGACATACTTTTCCGTGTGAAAAATATAGCTTATACATCCATGCAAAATTTAGTCTTTTTAATCTATTTTGACTGTTCCAATTTTTGCAACGCTCTTTATTTAAATAGACACAGCTATTACACAGCTGAAACGTCTTCAATTCTTTGCATTGATAAAATTTATGTATTGAATGGCTTACCCTCAATGTCGCTTTCTAAGCCCCTTGCTTTCAGAAATTTTGAAACCTCTGAGACGTATATTTGAACTTTCGTGGTGCGTAATTCATTTTTACAATCTATCCAGTTCTGGTCCGCGTAATAGGCGATAAAGTCTTCTACATAGTGTTCTTGAACCTCTAGAGGAGACCAACATGTAGTCTCATCAAGTGAATCTACCCTGTGACGATAATGAAAGCAAGTAAATCGACCCGACTCCAGAAAATGCGAAAAAAAGTTTCGTAAATCAGCTGTGCGCAAGTCCGATGGTATATTTGAGACTATAACCAGCATGTATCTGAAAAAAAAAGTGAGTTCCTTTGAGATTCGAGCACTGAACTGTAAAACTCGTCCGGAAATTAAACAGCGAACAGCGACGTAAAGCGGAAAAAGTCACTAAGGACGACTGCCGACGCCAGATCCTTACTTTTTACGTCAAAACACCAGTTGTTTCAAATTCGAGTCCGTTTGAATATGTAACTCCATCAAACTCGAAGCAATTAAACTATTAATGTACTCGTATCAATTAGGCTCTTTTAGCCTAATTGTTGTGATAAACTTGTTAAATAGTTTCCGAGGTCGAATGTCACAAACGTCTCAAGACCCCTCTGGATTGTGAACTCAGACGTCCCAGCAAGATGGCGAGAAAACTTCGGTCTGCCAGCAGCAGCGAAGCGACGCGAGATCCACACGCAGGACCGCTCACCCAGAAATCAGAAGACACAGCACCATGCGGTAATGCGGATTGCCCACACAGCGGTATCGTGAGCTCGAGTGGCGTCCAATGCGACCAGTGTAACAACTGGTACCACATGAGCTGTGCCAAAACTACAAAGAAAGCACTTGCAGCAATGCCTAGAAACTCTCTATTTTACTGTCCTTACTGTGTCACCCCCTCGGTGAACGGATCAACTGGGTTATCTCAACTACTAAGTGATCTCCGGTTGGATCCGGTGGAAACTACTCACGAGGATCTTAAGGTGCTGCATGGGACAATCAGTTATACCTCAATCCATCAAGCCTATTCGAGGATTGTCACCTGGGTACCTAACCTGTTCACCCTTCCACAGGGAAAAGTAGGGAGTCAGTTCCTGGAGGAGTTCATCCGCATTCTGAAAAATTTGACTTCAGACCCAAAGAACGCTCACTCCGCCTCCTTAGCTTTTCACTTGTTCCCCGCGCTTATGTTACAGAAACCATCTGCTCGCAGCAAAGTGAAAGAGCACAACAACTGTACTAAAGCCCGTTTAGAGCACTGGTCGAACGGCAATCTAGACGAAATTGTCTCTGAATGCTTGCTAATCCAGGATAAGTTTACAAGCAAGCGCCGAAAGGGAGTCCTCAACCTGTCGAAAACATACAGTGACCTTATCATGCGGGGTAAACTCACCCAAGCCACCCAACTCCTCGAAGGCGAAGAGTCTGGAGGACCTTTGCCCGTAGACGATGACCTCATCGCTCAACTGGAGAGAAAACATCCGGTCGCCGAGCCTTCGCATGCTGATGCCTTGCTCAAGGGACCCGTTAAACCTTTTCCTGCATCGATATATTACAACATTACAGGCGCGCTTATCCGCAAATGCGCACTCAACAGCACTGGAGGCGCGGGACCAAGCGGCCTAAGTTCAACAGGCGCCAAACGTATTCTTTGCTCCGATAGTTTTGGTAAATTAACCGACGACGTCTGCCACGCTCTCGCTGATCTTACCAGAATTCTTGCCACAGAGCAACTACCCGCTTCAGTGATGCAGCCCATAGCAAACTGCCGCATGGTTGGACTGGACAAATCACCTGGCGTCCGCCCTATTGGAATCGGAGAAATTTTTAGAAGAATAATCACGTCCGCTCTTATCCAGTGCTTTCAAGATGAAGTTAGGGAGATTATTGGCCCCCTCCAAACTTGCGCTGGTATTAGCGCCGGGATTGAATCTGCTTTCCGATCCATGCAGAAGACCTTCAACGCCGACGAGTGCCAAGCAGCCCTGTTCATTGACGCAGAAAACGCGTTCAATAGATTGAACCGCGGTACGGCTCTCCATAACATTGAATTTCTATGCCCCCAGCTCCACCCCTTCCTCAATAACTTCTACAAACAGCCAGCTATCTTGTTCGTAGGAGGGAAGTCCATCCTGTCATCCGAAGGCACCACTCAAGGAGACGTGGCAGCAATGATCATGTACGCCATCAGCATGATCCCCCTTGTCTATGATAAAACCGTCACCGACATTCACAAGAACTTTTACGCCGATGACGGAGCTGGTGCAGGGAAACTTATCCGTGTCAAAGAATGGTGGGAACTCATGAAAGTTCGAGGCCCGAATTACGGTTACTTCCCGGAGCCCTCCAAAACAGTACTCGTTGTCAAACCACAACACCTTGATGAAGCAGAAGCACTGTTCAAAAGTGACGGGTTGATTATTCGCACTTCGGGAAAGAAGTACTTAGGTGGTGTCATCGGCTCAACAGCTTTCTGTTCTGACTTCATCTTGCAAAAAACAGAGAAGTTCACAAGCATGGTGGAAAAGCTGACTGAAATAGCAGAGCAAAAACCGCAAGCCGCGTACGCTGGCCTTGTTTTCAGCCTGCAAAGCAAATGGTCGTACCTTCAGCGCATCATGGAAACTCCCGCGGAAGCATGGCATAACCTCTCAAGCTCTATCAACAACTTGCTCGAAACCATATTTGGTTGCAAACTGGATCCCACGTCGCTCGAATTTGCGCAGTTACCAGCCAGGTTGGGCGGCCTGAGCATTCGCGACCCAATTAGACAGAGTGCTCTAATGAACCGGGCTTCAGAATTCATTTGCGAACCACACGTGGACCTAATATGTACGCAATCTGAAAATTTTCCCTCTGGTTTCGAATCCGATCAGAAATCTAGAAGGGCTTATATTCGGAAACAAAACACCGAGACGCAAACAGAACTCCTGCAAACTATCCGGCCGAAGCTATCTGAGCGCCAAGATAGACTTCTAGAACATACGAGACGGAAAGGCACCTCAGCGTGGTTAACTACCCTCCCTATCAAAGAGTTAGGGTATGCTCTCAACAAAATGGAATTTCAAGACCTCCTCCGCCTCCGATACGGTATCAGTCTTGATAACCTTCCCATTGCCTGCGTCTGTGGGAAACCTTACGACATCACCCACGCCCTTAATTGCACCACTGGTGGTTTTATTCATAAAAGACACAACGAGTTGCGTGACCTGCTGGCGAACATCATACGAGAAACTTGTTTTGACGTCTCCATTGAACCGAGTCTCCAACCAGTTGTCCAAACTAACTCCAACCGTGCCGAAGATGGAGCAAGATTGGATATAGCAGCAAGGGGTTTCTGGCGGACCGGTCAACGCACTCTTTTCGACGTCTGAATTTTCAATCCCGGAGCCACCACCAATATCAACCGGGAAATTTCTGAAACCTTCAAACATCATGAACAAGAGAAAATCAAAAACTACCAGGAACGAATTTTGAACTCGGAGCACGCAAGTTTCACCCCCATTATCTATTCAATCAGTGGTGACTGCAGCAACCTGACTTCAACATTTATTTCCCAGCTAGCTCTCCTGACCTCTGAGAAGCGCGGAACCCACTATTCTGAAACTATTTCGTGGCTACGAACCCGTGTAAACTTTTGCATTATGAGAGGTGCCCTTCTTTGCATTAGAGGATCCCGCAAAATGAGAAGCCAGACCTGCTACAACCAAGATATTTCCATCAATAATTCCCTATCACGACGCGACTAACCTTTCCTTTATTCTCTTCGCCCCGTTGCTGTTTTTCACTGAACTGTTGTTCTTAACTGTAATTTGGTGCTATTTTTTCAAAGCTGATGTATAATACTTGTATATTGTACATATTTGTAGTTTTATAACGTTCGTAATTTACATTTTAAAATGTACTCGTATCTTGAGCATAAATGGATTTGTACACCCCCATACATTTATTGTTTCCTAACGCAGCCTAATTGTTGTGATAAACTTATTTAATAGTTCTTTGTTCAAATTTACCGCTTGTGTGTTTTCATATCATATGCGCGCTGGGCTTTCCTCTACTGGTTATCTTACCAAATCTCGCCGTCCCAGCCGTAGGCGAGTGAAGTTTCCCTGGCGTAACTAGACGCAAGAAGGAGTGAGCTGGTGAATCGACCTCCAAATCGACGTCAGGTTGTACCACTCCTTTTTTTTTCATCGCCTTTGCCTCAGCAATTTTAAACCCTAAGTGAAAGTATTCATAAATCACCCCAAAGAGCTTCCTTTCTCGCCCCAGTTGTCTGTGTTTCAGGTTGATGCCGCGATTCCAGGCAAGACGCAACCCTGAGTTCTCACAAAAACTAGTTATCGGGACTTCAAGGACCAAATATATCAAACCAGCTCTAGTAAATTCAACAATTCACTCCTACCGCGGCGCAACGCTTCATGATCTGTTTGAAACAGTTTTACAATACAGACCAAAGCGCCTAAATAGAGTAACGATAGTTGCTGGATACAATGACAACAGGCTGCATCCACAAGAATTACAACAGCAGTGGAAAAACTTGATTAACCTCGTCACTAATAAGTTTCAGCCCAAGACACTGATCATCCCCAAAACAATTCAGAACTGTAATAATTCCGAAGTAAACCGCAAAATTTATATTCATAATCATGTGCTGTTTAATTTGATAAATAGATTTGTACACCCCATACACTTATTGTTTCGCCTAACCTCAACCTAAATCTAACCCCTCAAATGTTCTGCCATGATGGCATTCATTTCTCGTTCTACGGTAATGATTTTTTTACAAATTTTCTTGCAAATTTAATCTATAAATTCTCTCGCTAACTTGACACCGCCGTCCTTCCTAAAATGGCTATTCAAACACACTGCCTTATTTGTAAAAGCAGCCTGTGAGGCGGAAGTGTTTGGTGCTTCACATGCCCGGGCTACATGCATGTAAAATGCAGCGGCCTAGCCCGCAGTAGTGATCACTATGATGATTTCAGTTGTCATCGCTGCACCTCCCAATTTCATTCAGCTAACGACAAGCATAAATACAATCCCCAACCCTAGCTACAACCACGCTCCCTTAAATTCACCCTCACGCTTCCACTGCCCCACACTCACAAAACACAGGAGAGTCTTCCACTATAGAACCTAGAGCAATACAAGACCCATGGCCAAACCCCTGTCCAGAACTCATACAAACCACCAGGAAAATATACACCGAAGTGGTCCACTGGAAACCGGTTTTTATGATCTTGTCAAAAAATAAAGTTCGTTATAACTTCATTGAAACCCTCAGTAGAACTTTG